AAAACACTTATCTCTTAACTCTACCTCTGTCCTCACAATACTATGACATGACATCATTACAACGTGTTTTCTCATGGTTCTTTCTGGTCCCTCTGCAGCAGACATATGCTGAGCAATATGTTTGGAACATCGAATCGCAATACATATAGAATCGTGAGAATCGTGAGAATCGCAATACATATCGGATCGGCACCTAAGTATCGTGATAATATCGTATTGTGAAGTCCCAGGTAATTCCCAGCCCTAGTCTGGAGGAGTGTTATCTGAGTGATAGGCTGGGAGTGGCTGTAATACGTGAGGCTTAGAATATGAATAGTTGAATGGATACTGGAAGAATTCACAAAGTAGATGCTCCTCAGTGCTGGACTCCTTCTGGTCCTTTTTTATTCATGCTGAGGTAAGATCTGCAAATTCATTTTCTGTCACCTGCTATTGGACTTCAGATTGGTTTGGGGAGGGGGGTTCAAACAGCTATTGCTTTTCAGCATTGCCACCAGATGGTCTTGGGCGGTCAAAGGCAGCCCTAAATATTGCATAGCAGGTGGGAACATCAATTCGTACCCCAGTCCGCCTTGGAACATGTAAAGATTCCTCTCCCAACTAAAAAAAACAAAACAGAAGTTATTTTGAATTCATGTCTTGACTCTCATCGTCCCCCCAAAAAAGTACTTGCCTGCAGTTGTGTAGATATTACAAGAACACCTGGGACCAAGTGCCTATGGGTGTATATTAAACAGAGTTCTAGGAGGCAGTTGTAGCTCTAACTGAACAGTGGAATTGGGCAGTTCCATGTTGGATAAATGGAAAACATATTAATGAAGAGCAATCATTAAAGAAAGAGGATTCCAGTTGTGTTTACCGCTTAATCCACATAAGCTTGGGTACTATTTTGGTAGCAATTATAGGCATAATAGACTTTTTATGCAATATCATGCAATTATTTTACACTATCATCACAATTATTATGTTGTTATTCCTATGTTAGGACATTACTAGGGTTGCAAAGGGAGGGTATGTTACTGGAAATGTTCTAAGTTTACCAGTAAACTACCAGAATTTTGACATCTAGTGGCCCCTTTGGGTACTTCAGATTATCACAGGTGTTTGTAATTATCTCGGGCCCTCTGTGTGGCCTTATCACATGTAAAATATATACAATAATCAAATAAGATGATTTTCAAATAAACTTTTGAATGACAAAGCTGTAAAACATTATCCTAAAAATATAACATCAACTTAGTGAATACCATTGCTGAGTAATATGAGGGTTTCAGCATGAACTATCCTTTATAATTTTTTTACCCACTTTTATTAATTTGACTATGTCAATATGTCTTTGTTATAAATGTTTTGGCGCCAAACTGGTGGCAGTTGTGAAAAAAGTATATAATTGGAAGAGTTGCAGAGTTAATTGAAAATATGCCATTGCTTTTTTCATAAATTAGGCTATTTTCTCTTGAACCATATGGTTTATCCACTATGGACAATACAGACACACACATTTAAAAAAATCTACTATATATGAATACATTAAAAAAAAGTTATCAAGTATAAATTACCAAAGTTACCATAGAAGATTCCGGTAACTTTAGTAAATTTCAGGTAGCTTTGCAACCCTAGACATTACACCCTTGAAGTATGTAGACTACAAAGCCTGAAACTATGCTCAACTTTCCATTTCTGTATAGGCCTAAACCTGCGGTGTCATAAACTCTGAGAAGGCAATCAGTGGATGTCATTTGCATTGTATTAGACTGACCAAAAGGCACAGCTTTGAGGATGCAATCTTCACTAAATTTCCAGCTCTTTGGGCCAAGGTTTTCTAGATCAGGGAAATGCACATCTAGGGGAAACTGAGTTTGAATAATATCTGTTATCTTTGGTTATTGTAGGGTTGTTCTGTATGTTTAGCATCGGTGATGGCTCAGACTGATGTGTATTGCATAGCTTATACAGTGCTATGAAAAAGTATTTGCCCCCTTTCTAATTTTCTCTACTTTTGCATATTTGTGATACTGAATGTTATCAGATCTTCAACCAAAACCTAATATTAGATAAAGGGAACATAAGTGAACAAATAACACAACAATTACATATTTATTTCATTTATTTCATAAACAAAGTTATGCAACACCTAATTTCCCTGTGTGAAAAAGTAATTGCCCCCTTACACTCAATAACTGGTTGTGCCACCTTTAGCTGAAATGACTCCAACCAAATGCTTCCTGTAGTTGTTGATTAGTCTCTCACGTCGCTGTGGAGGAATTTTGGCCCACTCTTCCATGCAGAACTGCTTTAACTCAGTGACGTGTGGGTTTTCAAGCATGAACTGCTCGTTTCAAGTCCTGCCACAACATCTCAATTGGGCTTAGGTCTGGACTTTGACTAGGCCATTCCAAAACTTCAAATTTGTTGCTTTTTAGCAATTTTCATGTAGACTTGATTGTGTGTTTTGGATCATTGTCTTGCTGCGTGACCCAGCTGCGCTTCAGCTTCAGCTCACAGACGGATGGTCTGACATTCTCCTGTAGAATTCTCTGATACAGAGCAGAATTCATGGTTCCTTCTATTAAGGCAAGTCGTCCAGGTCCTGAGGCAGCAAAGCATCCCCAAACCATCACACCACCACCACCATGCTTGACCTTTGGTATGATGTTCTTACTGTGGAATGCAGAGTTAGATTTTCGCCAGGCATTACTGGAACCATGTCGTCCAAAAAGTTATACTAAAAGTTATATCTGTCCATAGAACGTTCTTCCAAGAGTCTTGATGATCATTCAGGTGCTTTTTGGCAAACTTGAGTCAACTTTTTGGACGAGATGGGTCCCATTATGTCTGGCAAAAACCAAACACTGCATTCCAATTAAACTGTGGACTTGGCACTGTCATTTTGTTTTGGCCAGTGTGATATTCATACAGTGCCTCTCTCTGCTCTTGTCCACTGCCCGTGAAGGATGTAGCTAGTTGTGCTTGTGCCTGGACTGCCATGCATGTCAGATGGTCTAGTTGGATATTAAAGTTCCACTGGAAAGGCATTCTCTCTAGGCAATTTGACAATGGAAGGCTTAACATCGGCCTCTGTCATTCCACAGGGTGGAGCGTCCTATCCCCCTCTGTAGCCTGAGACCCCGTGGTGCCAGGCCAGGCCAGCTGAGAGGTACTGCTGCTGGGTAGACTCTGTGGCCCATGGCCCCTGGATCTCAGTCCGGATGGACCTCCTAACCAGCACAGCTGTCCCTGCTGTTCCTGATTCATTACAATGTGTTTATTAGGACTAGATTAGCATGTGAGGTGCTCATCGACTGGGCTGTAGTGGAACAGCTTGTGAGCTTCAAGTTCCTTGGTGTCCACATCACCAACAAACTATCATGGTCCAAACACACCAAGACAGTCGTGAAGAGGGCACGCAAAGCCTATTCCCCCTCAGGAGACTGAAAACATTTGGCTTGGGTCCTCAGATCCTCAAAAAGTTCTACAGCTGCACCATTGAGAGCATCCTGACTGGTTGCATCACCGCCTGGTATGGCAACTGCTCGGCCTCCGACCGCCTGGCACTACAGAGGGTAGTGCGTACGGCCCAGTACATCACTGGGGCCAAGCTTCCTGCCATCCAGGACCTCTATACCAGGCGGTGTCAGAGGAAGGCCCTCAAAATTGTCAAAGACTCCAGCCACCCTAGTCATAGACTGTTCTCTCTGCTACCGCATGCCAAGCGGTACCGGAGCGCCAAGTCTAGGTCCAAAAGGCTTCTCAACAGCTTCTACCCCCAAGCCATAAGACTCCTGAACAGCTAATCATGGCTACCCGGAGAATTTGCACTGCCCCCCCACCCCGTCCCCCTTTTTTTACTCTGCTGCTACTCTGTTTATTATTCATGCATAGTCACTTTAACTCTACCCACATGTACATATTACCTCAATTACCTCGACCCCCCGCTGTATATAGCCTCCCTACTGTTATTTTATTTTACTGCTGCTTTAATTTTTTTTGCTTAACACTTTTTTTATTTGTTTTACTTTACATTGTTGGTTATGAGCTTGTAAGTAAGCATTTCACTGTAATGTCTACACCTGTTGTATTCGGCGCATGTGGCAAATACAATTTGATTTGATTTGATTTGAGGTGGACTAGAGTCAATCCCTGACCAGTAATGCAATAATATATCAGGGTGGATATAGGCAGCTCTCTTCTTTGACTAAATATAGCCAACTCTCCTTTCATATTGTAACAGATCTATACTGAACCAAGCAATCATTTGAACAAAAACACATTTGCTTATTTTTGTATTTCTAGACTTCCTCCTCATTACAGAGGGAAAGGTAATATGCCCTCCAAGCTGACTGACTCATCAATGTTCCTCCTCAAACATGACTACGGTTCTATTCCATTAAGGGATTCATTAGCCAGGGTATCTCGTTGATGACAGTATTAGAGAGAGCTCAAGTCCTGCCGATGAAATCTAACACGGTGTCTTAGTAACAGGGAGCCTGCCCGCCTGCCCGCCTGCCCGCCTGCCTCTCCAGGTGCACTCACCTGCTCCTCCTCTGGAGAAGCAATTATTCTTTGTGTGGCAGGATGAAGGAGGGGGTGCTCCCCAGATGGTCACAGAGCCAAGCCCCTGCTAATTGGTGATGTTAGGGATTCAGACCAGATGCAAGGAGCTCCTCGCTCTCCTTCTCCTCCTTTTTGCTTTGCTTCCTTCTTTCTCCACTTTTGTTTTGTTTTGTCAACACTTTCTTTTGATATGTATATATCAATAAATGTTTTATTCATGCAATCTAGGAAATCAGTCGGTTTAGCCCCGTGCCCCTCTTTATTTCTTCCCCACCATGATTCACCATGTGTGTGGGTTCACATTTTCAAAGGCGTTTTTCTGAAAGGCTGTTACAATTAAACAACCGGGTGAAAATGAATGATTAATGCAAGTGTCAATCTCACACCCAGAGAAAACAGCGCAGGTGGAACTGCAGATACATGGCATTCTTCTCTTTTTCTGACAGCCTCCAGTCTTTTTAATGAGTCTGTGATGCTAATTGAGTGGCTGGGAGGGAGCATTGATCAGCGCTGCTCCCGGCAGAACAACTCAAAGGCAGGGGCAGAGGCAGGGGCACGGGCAGGATGTGCTGTTTGGCGTAGGTTTACAGTTCCTGTCTCCCAAAGGGCGTGTGCACCTGTTCCAGAATAACGGCTCTGGCTCTTCCTGTTAATCATCACTCTAAAGATATGACGTTTAATTTAAACTTTGCTGTACTACGATCATGTCAGCGTTTATTAAGTCTCATAATGCCTGTGACAGCAGAGGCCATCTTTGTAAAGAGCAAGTTACTATGACTCATGGATGGTAGTTTGTTTTTTCCCCCTGCGTGACTGCCTATCAGTTGCCATGGAACTTTGCCTGATGCAAGCCAATTCAAAGTTTACCAATGTAGTAAGCCAATGCAAGTGCGTTCTGGTGATGTAGCAACGATACAGTACTATCACACACTCATACTTTACATAATACAGTTGGTGTGTTGGTAAAAAAATGGAATTAAATAATGTTTATCCACTGTTACAGTAACTCCACCACCTCGTCTATGTGCTCTCCTCATCAGTAAGTCCTATGGTCATGTAGAGTACAACTGCAAAATATTCACTGATAGAATGCTATGCACATAGTCAATACCTGCTTGAAACTTTACTCAATTGCCTGTTTGGTTGAACATTCTGTTCTGTTTTTATTTTCCCCCAACCTGTACAGTAGCTTTATGGTTTAATATGTATTCTCCAGTCTCTGCTGTTGTTACATCATCTATCCAGGGAAAGAGGCATTGTGGACCTGAGACTGGGATACACACACAAGTCTGTCACATCACTGGGGACTTCAGTCTAACCAGTAAGGCTGCCTGTCTGAGTGGAAACAAAACAAGTCCAATTATACCAGCTCAAGTACAATGCAGTGGGGGCAAGCAAACAATATTGTTTTTTCTGTATTCTCTATCACAGACACCCTCTACTGAAATTATATTATTTTATAATGGAAAAGAAGAATTCAGGTGCACACACACAAACATACACGCATCAACTAAATATTTAAACCCATTCATTTTAAATAAATACCAGATAGGCCTACACACTTGTGAAAACATCTGCCAGTCTTCACATACAGTGGGGGAAAAAAGTTTTTAGTCAGCCACCAATTGTGCAAGTTCTCCCACTTAAAAAGATGAGAGAGGCCTGTAATTTTCATCATAGGTACACGTCAACTATGACAGACAAATTGAGAATTTCTTTTCCAGAAAATCACATTGTAGGATTTTTCATGAATTTATTTGCAAATTATGGTGGAAAATAAGTATTTGGTCACCTACAAACAAGCAAGATTTCTGGCTCTCACAGACCTGTAACTTCTTCTTTAAGAGGCTCCTCTGTCCTCCACTCGTTACCTTTATTAATGGCACCTGTTTGAACTTGTTATCAGTATAAAATACACCTGTCCACAACCTCAAACAGTCACACTCCAAACTCCACTATGGCCAAGACCAAAGAGCTGTCAATGGACACCAGAAACAAAATTGTAGACCTGCACCAGGCTGGGAAGACTGAATCTGCAATAGGTAAGCAGCTTGGTTTGAAGAAATCAACTGTGGGAGCAATTATTAGGAAATGGAAGACATACAAGACCACTGATAATCTCCCTCGATCTGGGGCTCCACGCAAGATCTCACCCCGTGGGGTCAAAATGATCACAAGAACGGTGAGCAAAAATCCCAGAACCACACGGGGGGACCTAGTGAATGGCCTGCAGAGAGCTGGGACCAAAGTAACAAAGCCTACCATCAGTAACACACTACGCCGCCAGGGACTCAAATCCTGCAGTGCAAGACGTGTCCCCCTGCTTAAGCCAGTACATGTCCAGGCCTGTCTGAAGTTTGCTAGAGTGCAATTGGATGATCCAGAAGAGGATTGGGAGAATGTCATATGGTCAGATGAAACCAAAATAGAACTTTTTGGTAAAAACTCAACTCGTCGTGTTTGGAGGACAAAGAATGCTGAGTTGCATCCAAAGAACACCATGCCTACTGTGAAGCATGGGGGTGGAAACATCATGCTTTGGGGCTGTTTTTCTGCAAAGGGACCAGGACGACTGATCCGTGTAAAGGAAAGAATGAATGGGGCCATGTATCGTGAGATTTTGAGGGAAAACCTCCTTCCATCAGCAAGGGCATTGAAGATGAAACGTGGCTGGGTCTTTCAGCATGACAATGATCCCAAACACACCGCCCGGGCAACGAAGGAGTGGCTTCGTAAGAAGCATTTCAAGGTCCTGGAGTGGCCTAGCCAGTCTCCAGATCTCAACCCCATAGAAAATCTTTGGAGGGAGTTGAAAGTCCGTGTTGCCCAGCGACAGCCCCAAAACATCACTGCTCTAGAGAAGATCTATATGGAGGAATGTGCCAAAATACCAGCAACAGTGTGTGAAAACCTTGTGAAGACTTACAGAAAACGTTTGACCTGTGTCATTGCCAACAAAGGGTATATAACAAAGTATTGAGAAACTTTTGTTATTGACCAAATACTTATTTTCCACCATAATTTGCAAATAAATTCATTAAAAATCCTACAATGTAATTTTCTGGATTTTTTTTTCTCATTTTGTCTGTCATAGTTGACGTGTACCTATGAGGAAAATTACAGGCCTCTCTCACCTTTTTAAGTGGGAGAACTTGCACATTGGTGGCTGACTAAATACTTTTTTTCCTCACTGTACCTGTTGAAGGGTAGTGAAATTAGTCATTAATTTATTTGCATCCTGCTTCGCACAAATACAATAGTTTACCACTCAACAATATCCAATATCCATCAGTTTATGTGACTATCATTTGAAATAGGGCCTCTTGACGTGCTAGTCACACACATGTACACACGTACACGCATGTACACACACACACCACAAACACAGTATGAACATAATTTTCATAATTTATTTACAGAGTGAGAATAGACAGCAGTCTGGAAGCAGCCAACCCCTTCACAATGCATTTTCAGTCCACTAAACAGCTCTCACTGGGTGCAAAAATGTAAAGATCTTACCAAATATTACCATTTCAAGTGTTCAGTCAAAAATTATCTACCTCCAGTTTCTCTTGTCATTGTGGCTACAGTAAATCAATGTAAATCTCATGTGAGACAGTAGATATCTATTACATATCTTTCTTAGATTAATTCATTCATTTTTTTCAGTGAGATCTGTTGAATTCATTGAATCCGGAACAAATTAGTTTGATCATTTTCTCTCTAGATGAAAAAAAGACACATTCTGAGAATAAAAGCTGGTGTCCATGAAAAGTTCATAAAGGTCATCCCATAATCAGTGGGTGAATAAAATTGGCTTGGTCTTAATATAGATGGCAACAATAATCACACAAAATTCAAATCTGTTTACTTCATCTTTTTGGAATAGGGTTTATGGCCTCTGTCTATGTATCGTACACTTTCCAATGGATTCTCCATTAAACAATAATCTATTCCATTTGTAATCTCTGTGTTAAATCTAGCAAGGATGTGGGCATTACTTAAATCCTAACTTTTTCTCAATGTATTGAGGAACCTGATTATGACTCCATGAAAGTTTGATGGAAAAGTATGAAAACACCATCTCTGTCGCATAGCTTGAATTTTGCATGAGAAATGGTGAAAGTGTGTGTAAATGTTACAATTATGAATGCACCAATTTGAGCCAGGCAAGAATTCAGAGCGCTGGGGCTCCTTCTCAGCGGAAGTATACTCTGGTGCTTTCACCTGACAAGTTTCCTCTACCAAATATCATGCACGTGACTCGTGCTATAAAGCTATAATCGTTTTTATTTGTATTTTATGTGTCTGGGGTACGGTATGTGAGGCCACCAGGGAGGACAGTAAAGATAGCTGCATGTGTTCCATGAGGCTTTAATGGTGACCTACTTTTACTGTAGAATAAGATGTACAGTACACTATTATGTCTGCACTTAATGAGAGTGAAGATGATGTGCTGCTTTCGTTAACTGTATCACATACTGGCAATACAATATCCCAAATTGGGAACGGTAACGTGTCGTCAGTGGAGACTCTCACATCTGTTGCAGAAGTGATATGAGTTTAGACTTGAGGCAATTTACTGTAAATTGTCTTCAGTCATTAAGTTTACACATGCATTCTTTTGCTAAATCATGTTAGAGCCACTCCCGAGTTGTTTTTCCAACAAGCCTAGTTTGAAAACAGGAAGAAAATATTTTAGGTCTGCAGGGAGTTCTGTATCGTAGTTAGGGTTTTTGTTTTGAAATGCATTTTGTCACATTAGCTTATCAGTCACGTGACGTCTCCAGCATGTTTTTCTGTTGTTTTTCATTTTTCCTCAGGGGAGGTACCTTAGAGAAGATCCCAAACAGAAACAACAGATGTGTTCATTTTCATTGCAAAGTTCTGGGAAAAACAGAGCTTATCTTTCCCAAAATTAGCATGAAGTTCTCAGTGACTGCTCACAGGGCATCAAAGGCATGTAATTATATAAATTGTGCAATTTGTGAGGGTAGGACAAAAGCTACAGTCACAAAAACAGAAAATCATTCCCCCTGTAAGGTATTTTGGCTGTTATTGTTTATTTAAACATTGCATTGAATAAGGCAAATTGTCGTGTTTTGAGTGGCTTTGTTATTTACTGAACAATGTAGCATTGATACATCCTGCTGCTAAAAAGCTTTTCTATTCCGGAGACAAAATAAGTGGCCTGGATCTCAATTGTAGAGGCAATATCACCACCGCTGCACGCCAATAAGAACACTGACCTTTGATGTTATACACATTTCAGGAACCAGTCATGAATATCTTTTAGCCAGGCTAGCCACAGGCAGGTGTTAAATACACTCTTTACTTGTGTTTTTATTTTTTTACTATTGTTTATGACTCCTCAGACAGTCCACAGTCATGTCTTGATGGATCTGGTTAGAGTATGAGTTTGCTACTACTGCAGCGTACAGTGGAAATGGCTGGAGATTGGCAGGGTAATGTGGTCTACTGTATAACCCTTGAATCACATCTAATCACATTCTAGGCCAAAGGTAAGATGGTTACAAAGGCTGTCACTTGTCCTTTATCCCATGGCTTACTGATACTAAAGGCTTTTGTTAAGTCATGCACAGATAGCCCATTGGAATCCCAGCTGCCCATGGAGTAATGGAGACTTCCGTTCTGTGTGTCATTTCACTGAGAGAATACAAACCACAGCCGAGGAACGCTAACCGCACAACTAATTGCTTAAACGTCTGCAGGGACACAACTACTCCAATAGCACTTTGGGAAAAAAGGATACAAGTTAAAACGTGTCCTGACTGGTATAAATCTGGAGCTATCCTATTACCGCCTAAATAGCTTTTGAAGACACGTCTCACCTCCGATAATTCTTGTCTGTGCCACGGTTCTGTGACAGACAGAATTAATTGATATGTTTTGTCTGCTTGTGGTTCGTCCCCCCTTATGGTTTTACCAGGTCTGGCCTGTTTGCTGCCTCTGACTAATTGCCTGTTTTGCAAGCAGGTTTGGTGTCTGAGCCTGAGTGTAAGCTGAGTGTTTTCCCCTGTCCGTGTGTCCCCTATAGAGAGCAGTGTCCTGCAGAGCCCAGTATTCACCAAGCAGCCTGGCAGCATCGTGTTCCCTGTGGACTCCCAGGAGAACAACAGAGAGGTGGTGTTCAGCTGTGAGGCCCAGGGAAGCCCATCTCCACTTTATCGGTGAGTATGTAATACACAGTGCACGTCTCCCACCACAATCATTTCCCTCTGTTCTGCTATTGTGGATTGCTAATTTTATTGTGATGTAGCCCACTGACTGCTGGACACAAATCGTAATAAAATAGATACTTTTAAAAAATATATATTTATTTTTATCTCATTGAGATCACGCATACATGAAGGGTAAAATCATTCATCCCACTTAAGATTCAGTATGGAACATTATCTTTACTATTTTGGGAAATGCAGTGTGGCTCTGGTTATGAACAGTACCTGGTTCAAACGTATTGAGGCAGAGGCTCAAAGAGAGTGTCCCTTTCGCTCTCTCTTCTTCTCTTGGACGGTTCATTAGTCTATCGAAAGGTTAGTGTGTTGTATCTCTGGCAACTACAAGGTTCAAATCAATCATGTTTGCACACTGAAATTGCTGGGTTGAGATTTAGAAGGATTGGTACGTTTAATACTTGGAATTGAGCCAGCTTAAAGGGTGACCTAATCAGCTGTTTCCTGTCAATGTCGCTGTACAGTCCTGTCAGAAAGAGCACAGAGCCTGGGCAGGGATGGGCTACCAGCCTGCCTTCTAATACTGTCTTGCTGTGTGCAGCTGCAGATTAAATAATCTTCAAAGTTCATTAACTGCACATCACACAATCGTATACTGTGACTGGCTGATGTAAGAGGTTGGGCATTACATTTGGCTCATCCTCTGATATGCTTTAAAACTGTCTGTCCCTACAAGCATAACGTTTCTAAGAGAATATTAACTCTGGAAAGAAGAAGCATTGTTCTCTGGTTCTGGGTCTATTTGGTTTCCCCCAAAATAAAAGTGCCATGCAGAAGGCTAAAGGAAAATAACAGACCGTGTAACATTCTACAAACTCAGAAGCCAGATGGCATGGTATTATACTACTGTATGGACATCCTGTTGAAACATGATCGCATAAAGCATGTGCTTAACAAACGGAGCTGCTGTTCCAGTGTCCCCCCTCTAGAGTGATTGATAGCAAATGAGATTATTAGATTATCAGCAGCATGTACATGTACTTGATTTAATTTATTGCTCGATGTATCATAGCTGTGATGTTAAATTCTATACAAGAGTCATTGTCAGGACAATATCTAGTGACAAGACCATGGATTTCATCTTAGTGTGTTAACCTAACTCCCTTACTTATTCCTTTGTGCAGAACACACCTTGTGGAGCGTAATGCTCCGATGTTGACCTAAAGACAAATGGAGTTATGTGTTTTCTCACTATTACCATATTAGTCAAAGCTATGGCAGTCTTAACGCTCATCCAATACACCCTATTTGCTACAAAAAGACCTAAACGAGCAAATGTTTCCCTGTCAACCGGCCTTTTTGAAAGACACATTTAATGCTGTGTATTAACAACTTCTCTCTGCAAACGCATGTGAAAATGAGACGGTGCAGCATATTGATAGATTGACAGTGATCTTCTTTTGAAGGGTAGTAAACTCTACAGTCTTTGTGATTTGTAACAAGATAACTCACTCTTATACATCACGCATCAAATATTTTTCTCGGTCCCCAATTTGCTCTCTTTTAATGTCTTAGAAAGTCACGGATAAAGCATTAAATGAATAACCGTCAGTAAAATAATTAGCAGGCATGTGTTATTAAAATTGTTGGCTCTATTGAGTGCTTTCATTGTGGATATGTTGCTCACTCTCTCTGTTGAAGAATAATAGAAAACTGTTGAATAGGGTGCTTTCATTTTTAATGCAATGCAATTTTTTCTCTGAAACAAAAATAGCACTTAGTAACAACACATAACAGCCTGCTATGAGAGCTGATGACGACTTCTTCTCTGGGATATCTAGGATCATGTTAGAGGCTCTTCTCTTCCTATCAATTGCAGGTTCTCTCTCTGAAAGCCTGAGTAGTTAGAGTAGACTCACTACTGGGAAGTAAAATATTAATGTTTGTACTTGTTTTTCTTGCATTGGAAGTAAGTGAATGGCTGGAGTTGCCTTGTGAGACGGTCGGTGAGGATCTTTGCCATAGTGTGTGTAAAGTAATGAGGCTCTGGAGACCAGGGGTCTTGCGTATGTACTCTAAGGCTAGTTTGGAGTAGGCATGGTAATGAATGAGGGAATCATTATATATGTTGCTTGTACAAGCAGTGCTACCCCAATAAGCACTATGTATTTAATGGCATGGCCATATTGTATTCTGTACATAAGAAGAAAGCCACGGGAAATGTTTGTAATCATATATCTTTAGGTGAACTACATGTTCCCTTTTTCTCAAGCATTGATACAGAACATGTTCAGGTGCTTATTATTTTGACTGTGTCTCAGTCATAATTGCCATAGCACGACTTGAGTTCTCCCCTTTCTATAGCGAAACCCTGGGAGAGATAACTCTCAGTCCCAGTCTTTATTTAAATGCTTGATATGGTTGTTGGTTGTCTAAATGGTAGATGAAAGAGAACGAAGAAATTGCCGTCAAATGTTATGCTTTTAACCTGGCTGTAACCTTTTACCGTGGTCTCTTTATTAGTATGCCTTTTCTCAGCTAAATCATACAATAAAATAGCTTTTATCTATTCAAGCAGAGCTACACCAACCTAATGGACATATTCCTAGGAATGCTTTGACAAATTCACCCTATTTGCTGAGCTGTTTGGAATCCATAAAGACAATAAATTATTCTCCTCACTCCAAAGACATAATCAGCAACTAATCACCCTGGACTCTAATAATGATTTGCATCGCCCATTTCCCAATAAAGTGATTAAGAATACCTATCATGCTTACTCACATGTGAAATGCCATTTTTTAGTTTTGTTGTAATAGGACTGGACATTGTTGATAATCACCTACAAGTATCAAAGTGTTTTTGTGTCAAGACGTTGTGATGTGTAAATTAGGTGTTCACACCTCCATAACTGGGATTTCGCTTGTCTCGATCCCTTCACCCCCCTGTTGTTTGGTATTGTAACGACCATTCTGCTCTATGTGGAGGGATTGAGGAATCTGCTGCCTTCATAAGTGAATTATATCCTTCACTGATCACCTCTAACACCAATGATAATCTTGTAGCCTGGTGTAGAATGCAAAAGTGCAGAATGCAGGGTGCTAGTCATTAATTTTAATTGCTGCATCGTAATGATTAAGCTGCATTTTTATGCTGTTTGACTGGGTGTCTAGCAAGATGGATGGCCAAGGAGGCTGTGTATTCTTGTTGAGTGGGCTATTTTCTGCTCCGTGGTGTGCCGGCCGTCAGTGTGGTTCACTACTTAGATTAACGTTAAGCCTTTTATTCTCTTATTGAAAAGGAATTAATCAAATGAAGGTAAAATAATACTTTTCTTTGTCAGAATCTCATCTTGTCCTAAAGGTGAATGATCTACATTAGAATGGAGTTAATGGTGGGATTCTCAGATTGTCTATCAAATGTTCTGGATCTAACTGCTTTTCATTTTGTTTCTAGATGGAAACTGAATGGCACCGCAATCACTCCAAAATCAGGCTCACACTACAGCCTGTCTGGAGGCAACCTCCGAATCAGCCATTTGAACAAAGACCAGGATGCTGGAACATATCAGTGCCTCGCCTTCAACTCTTTTGGGACCATCGTGAGCCGAGAGGCCAGTCTAACCTTTGCATGTAAGTCACTAACTATCTTTTGTTCCCTCTCTGATCAAACTGTACTAGCCAGCAGTGTGAAAGCATGTGACATAAAAGATATGTCAGTGGGACTTGTGATAGTGTCTAGTGTCCCGCCTGATAAAACGATCAACATGGAAATATCTCCTTGGGGAGCAGCAGTTCCCAGTGCTGTGATTCCACACTCCCCTTTCTGTCAGGGTGCATCTTAATCCTGATAGAGCTGAAACATGAATCTACACAACTCCAACGCACAAAACTAACTCTCCATCACTTTCCCCAGGCTTGGCTGTTACTCAAAATAAGTAGCAATAAATGCCTACACTACCACATACTATCTTTATAACACATGACAGACTCTCAAAGATGTTCAGTTAAAGCGTATTGAGCAAAAGTAATGTCATCGTAAGTGTAAAACCGAATAGAAATCAACTTCTCTCAGCATGTGAAAATAATCGTTATTGTAGAATAAGTAGTATTTTTGCAGAACTTTAGACATTATGACTGAGACTTGAGTAGAATAAGATAAAGATTGTGAATAAGATAAATAAACTGTGGTTTCCATTTAGCTCTTTCCCTATAGACTAGGAAGAACTCAATACTCCCTGCTGCTCCTCCAGTTATTGGATATCCTTAAATGACGACATTGACAGTGAAGTGAGTGATGGCTTCTTCAGATTGAATTTTGATGCCCCACGTTGGGAACAAGGCCGCTCCATCCCTCACACGCTATTTGTTTTGTCCCTTGGTCGGGCCCAGTCTAACCCCTGAGCAGGAACAATTCGATTCCGTATGGGAACTCCACTGTCACTATAGAGCAATACAGTGACAGTTCCATCAATTGCCAGGGCCTGACCTTACCAGTCTTGGGTCACATATTAAGGCATGCATCTTCTTAATTACTCATGGTAAAGCTTAATTAACTCCACATGATGATTGAATGGTGCGGGTTGAAGAGAATAATTTAAAGGGCAGCTGATATTATTAGAGAGTGTATCCTACAATTTGTTAGAGTAGAGATGAGCGATAATGTCTATGTGGCTCTCAGCTTCATGTCAACATTGCGACGACAGTCCCTGATGTATATAGCCATATGTTGTCATCCCGAATGATCAGCAATGTTTTAGAGAAGATTTGACTGTAAAATCAGTGCAGAAAGTATTGAAACATTAAAGTAACTGTCCAGTGTTTCCCGATTACTATGAAATATTACCTATAATTAATTACAGTAACCACTTTTCCATCCACAGTTTTTATGCGCGTAAAAACATTCTGATGGAAACAGAACGTTTCAGTACAATTGTATAAATGCCGACAGATCATTTGTTTGTTCGTTCGACATGGTGGGATCTTTTTGTGTCGGTACAATTAATTATGGGAGAAATGGCGGTGGAACGCCTTTATGCGCAAATATTGATATAATAACCATCATATCGAAGTAAACTTGGAGTCGTGATGATATAGTGTGTGGTCCTCACACTTTGACTCGGGAAACCATGCAGTTTGTTAGGCTACAGATGATGACATGATGATCGTTGCTTGACTGCCGTTTGACAGATAAAATATTCTCGCTCTTATCCATAATAATCTCATCATGTAGACTAGCCTACCCACCCACCCAGCCTACCCGCAATGTATCTCTGTGAGCTGTTGTTGGCTAGAGTGCACGTGCCAAGACCAGAGTAGGCACGTTTGCTATTTAACGCAACAGTTTTTGTGACAAAATGATGGGTAGAGTTGAAAATGTGATGGAACATGAAAACTTAAGCGAAAAAGTAAATTTTGTGTTGACTACGTCATCACTCACTGATTTTTATCCACAACAATTCAGTTAAGTGGAAACACACCACTGTTGGAAAAATCTGTTGCCAATTGGGTGGAAACCTAGCTAATATTAGTGAAATATGAGTCAAAATGTTTTAATGAAGTATGTTAAAAAGCAGTTTTTCTGTGTTGGAATGGTGTGGGCGTACCCCAACAACAGAATGGTGTGGGTGTATACCGGTCATTACAAATATTCATGTGAGTAGACCGCTGATTGGCCAGCTCATCTTCCTCAGAGGATGACATCATGTTATATGAGGAAATTGGTGGATTTGACACTGTTATATCTTTGGGCACAATATACTATATTAATCTTCCGCCGATAGTTTTCAATGCCTTAATATCTTACCTTTTTCTATGTTATCTGTATTGTGTTCTTGACCTTGAAAATGGTTTTCTGTTGATTCACATGTAATCTATGAATGTCATTTTTTACTGTAACTTGCATACCAGTATATAATACTCTTAATTGGTGCAGTCCAGTCAGTGGCATAGCACAGTTTCGCGGGGACCCCCCTGCAAGGTCCAAGCAAGGACCTTTATTGTCCAAAAAGTGTTTAAAGGCCTTAATTGTTTAATTCTAACATTATAATTATTCAAATATGTAATACACATCTCCAAACTTCTCTTTGTTTTGTTTTATAGCATTATTAAATGCTCCAGGGCTAATTTCATTAGCATTTTGGCATATTTTTCTAGATTTAGAACATAAAAAACATTTATAAAGCAAATATTATCCCTTAGGTCTACCATTTCAAATACTTCAATGTTGCAGAGCAACAATTACAATATTTTTTCAGAATATTGACAAAAAATATCTTAAGGGGGTTAGCCATCAGTGACGGAGCTGACAAGCCACTGACGGAGTTGACAACAGATACTCAAAACAGACATATTCTTTCCTCTAAAACTAAAGTTCAATACCAACATTTGTAAATTATGGAAATGCCTCATTTGAAAATCCCCAATAAAAACAAAGCCATTCTATCAGATCTTTCAGCACTCAGACAGAGTTGACGTTAGACAAAAATCTGACGGAGTTGATGTACCATATTTGAACCAAAATGTATATTCTATTTGAATCTATCAGGCACATGGAGTTGACAGTTTATGGTTGAGACCATGGTGATTCCAATATTGTTTGTTTAAATCTATCAAAAGTAGAGAACTTTACAGACAATATGTGGTTTTGTTGCATAACATGTAATGATGACATGAATAAGGCGTATAGCTGACCCTGCTCATTGCTGATTAATTTAGAATTTTAGACATCTAACGAAGTAAACCAAATCTCTGGACACATATTTTAGGAATCAAAGTTCTGAGAGAAATATTATTTCAAGTCACAGAGGTATAATAACTTTTCTGGTAACTTTTCAGGTAATATAATTGTTTGCCATTTTTTAGAATTTTAAACACTTTTTTGGAGAATTTGAAATTGGGATCCTTTGCTCCAGACAAGTGCATTTCCAGGCAAAGAGCCAACATGGAAATAAATAATATTGAAGGTATTTCAATTCCAAACATATATTTAAAAAAAAAAAAAAAAATCCACTAAATGTACATTTTAAGCTCAAATAATGCAATAAAATCCAAAGCTCGTGCTGCGGTGGTGTGTGTTATGTCAGTGTGCCCACTTCAGCTCAATCAATAATACATTCTGTCCATGAGCAGATTGAATTAATGAAATATGTTATTGCTCTTAAAATGAATTCTATGAAGTTATGCATCAATCAATACCATCTTCTTCCAGAGAAGCGTAATGAAAGTTGGCTATTTAGTGTTCTAAAAAATGCTCTGTGATTATTCCACTGGAGCTTGACCTTGCAGAGTTGAGATAATAAAAAGAGACCAAGAACAATGAACATCAAATACTTTAAGAATATATGTTTTTCTCTGCCTTTCCTCCTGAATTGGCTTGCTTTAATTGCACAGATATTGAAAGCCTTGTCAGTAAGAGCCATAGGAAATGGATCATTGTCATTATGGACGCATTGATATTGTCTGAAGGACAAGCTCTGCTTCCTAATTCAGTAATTGAATTCTGGGTAAAGAAAGTGTTTTTTTATTCAAATCATCATTGAACGTGAACCTCATGCATAGTGTTTTAATCATGTTTCTTGTGTACTGTAATCTTTTTTTATAATACATAATTGTGATGAATTTCCTTAGGTTTATCAAGGAATGACTGGCTAAACATACACATTTTTAAGAATGCAAAGGATGATTAAATAAGAAGATTGATTTCCTTAGGTTTTTGACAATCTCTCAACCACTGTATCTTCTCTTTATCTCATCCAGACCCTTTCAACACTGTATCAATCCTTTTCCATTTTGTACAACAACTGTCATGTTTATTTCATTCTGGTGTTAATATTCAGAATTAATATTATCTCTTAATATTCATGGTAAGTATCATTTATTCCTCACAACTTCTTCACGCCCTTAGGATACACTCGCCCTGATGGATGTAATGTTCAATTTGTTTGCTCTGTGCGTGCAAATCCTCTGATGTTGGAACTGTTGCTTCCTGCCTCCTTTAAACCAATGGCTAGTTTTTCAGCTTCTCATTTCCATGTCTATGAACTTGAAGTGACATTGAGCACGAATATCTTAAACCAACTGTATCTGCTTATAATTAAGAGATTGCAGTCATGCTTGGATATATTTTTTGGTCTACTAGTAATACCCGATGGGTATGGTCTGAATTTCACTATGGACAATAATCAGCACTCTGCTTCCTACACTCTTAGAAAAAAAGGTGTTATCTAGAATCTTAAATGGTTATTTGGCTGTCCCCATAGGAGAACCCTTTGAAGAACCCTTTTGGGTTCCATGTAGAACTCTTTCTACAGATGGTTCTACTTGAAACCCATAAGGGTTCTACCTGGAACCAAAAAGGGTTCTGCCTGGAACCAAAAAGGGTTATCCTATGGGGACAGCTGAAGAACCCTTTTGTAACCCTTTTTTCTAAGAGTGTACAGTGTAAAGTTTCAATAGGTACAGATTCTTCAGTTGGAAAAAGTTATGTTCCTCTAGATATTCTACTGGACCGTCAAGGTTACCCCCATGAGAATGGCAGTGCTCCAAATAATTTGGCGTTACCCTTCCCTCTCTGACCTTTTGGTGGATGGTGGTGCTGCCGGTGAAGAGTTGGTCCTGTCTTCTGGCTAACTGATGGATAGAGGGCCACTCTCTCGCTCAATACCGTCTGACCTTGATTACTATTTCTATTGATTCATTATCAGTGATTATGTAAAAGATGTACACCCATAATTCATACTGATGTCTAGCTTGTATATCCAATGTGTCTGAGTCCCAGAGTTGACTTGTTATGTGGGAACTTCTTCAAAGGCCATGCTTTGAATGTGATACATTGTTAAACAGTGTATTCAAGTTTGACTGCAGCGTTAGACTGAAAACATACCAATAATTAGTTATAGAATAGGTATATGTTGGCAATGGAAATGGAAATGTGGGTC